TTAATAATTTAGCTTAATTAATTTAAACAATTAAAGAACAAATCTTTCTTTATGTTTGTAATATGTATTTTCTTCCACAAACTAGACCCAATATTTAACCCACTGAGCCATTCCATACTTCAACTAGACAAATAGACAACAGACAGTCAGCACGCTAGTGGTGTGGACATAACACAGGAAGGGATTATCATTGTTTACTCCGGTATGTTTATGGATAGTATACAATAAACTTGCGGTATTTATTAAAAGGTATATTAAGATCAAACTTAAAGCATCAGGTTTACGACTTGTGATCTTTTTAAGCATTAGAATAGTATGTGTTGGTGTAGAGTTTGATTTTCCTTTCATTTATGATTTCTTCAATAGTAGACTTATGTTTTTCTTTCCTAGGTCTCTATTACATTTACAGCAATATCAAGTTTAATCCGAATTCTACGCGATTTTCCTCCGACTTTACATATCAGGTAGGAAAGATAATCGGTTTATTGCTTAAAATTGTGTAAAAAGTTAGCTACACTCGAAAGTAATATGTAAATTAAAAATTTTCATTCAAAATAAAATAATTATGTAAAGTTACGTTCAGTATAATAATTACTAATTAAAATATTATCTTTCAACTAGTTTCAACAGTCTCTATATCTATAATCAAATTCATGCAAGTCGCGTTGATTGCCTTTCCAATCGCGGTTAGTAATCTTCAGTTTTTTCTAATGTTATAAAGAAAGGTGGTGCGTTATAATAATTCACTAATTTGTCCCCAGACGTGGTTCCAGTACATCAGCAGACGATCAGCCACCAGCCCAGTTTTATCTGGCGTATTGTTGAGAACTGTTCACACCTGTTGTAGCAACTGTACAGGTAGTCAGGAGACGGCTTACACAGGTGAGATCTGTTGTAGCAACTGTACAGGTTAACAAGTTTAATAGGATATCGTGGCATAGCTGTAGAGAGCCAGACTTCAAACCCGAAAGTCTCGAGTTCGAATCCGGGTTCAAGTTAGTAAAACGTCCCGGTTCTGATGAGTACCTAACTCACGGTTTGGAAAGTAAAGGCTGCTGGGCTTAGTGCTAACCACACTATCCCTTTATATGCGTAGGTCTCTGAAACAGAAAAACTCTACTCCATCTGCCCCATGTGTATTCGGCACAAACAGGAAAAGATGATGAACACGTCATGAGACTGGGTCAACTACACTTGAACAAAGTGATTGAACTGATGTGTGCAATAATTTGCCAATCAGCAAAGATCAATCAGTTCTGTTCCTTGATAGTGTCTGTTATACATCCCTCGTTCTATCAACATATGATGGGGTTACCTGACTCTACTCTAGCCGGCTGGGTAGAATTAAGGCGATAGGGGTGCATACTTTACCACAGTATTTTCAGTTCAGTTCCGTTTATGCTGATTTGAATTTTCTTGAACACAATAATTAACGGTTTATTCAGATACCTATAGTCCGCATGTCAAATCAATATTGTTACCGCAGGTCGATACAATTAGATAAGTAGGACTAATTAATTAGTGGTGTTGATCACGGAGTAAAGTGTGGACTCCTACTAAAACTGGTTCTATCTATCTTGTACTCTATAGGTGGTGCCTTCTACCTGCATTCACGTGACCTCATATAGGTGTCCATATCAGGTCAGGGTCTGGTGAACTTTGATGTTGGATCAACCTACCCTGGTCTCTTTTTATTGCGTGTTTAACTAAGGTAGTGATGTTATTTATAAAATAAGATAAAACCACACTTTGAGTTTATTTTCATGTGGTTATTGAGTTCAACTGCTTCTATTAACATAGCATGAAAGGATTATGTATAGTACTATGCTAAACTATCTCTATTCCATCAGTGTCATGAACCAATCAGTGCTTGCAGAACTCGATGATTAGTAAGGGAAAAATCCAAAGAATCTAACTCAAAACTGTAATGCCAAGAATGTACAGTAGGGCCTACTGCAATAATTGTGTACTTAAAACTTAAAAAAAAAATAAAAGCTTCGCCATTAATTTTACTAAATAAACGTATGTATTCAATTATAACGAATTGCATTTACCATATGTACTTTTAAAAATGATATCTTACCATTTTAGATGTAGTATGTGAAAATTCAAGTCGTCCAACTATGAAGTTTCGAGCAGCAAGTAATAACAATACAAATGCGCTAATAGACTTATCTATGAGAGTAACCGAAAAAAATGCGTCCAAACTTCATCAATATTCGAATCAAATTAAAACAAATTGGCGTAGGTTTATAGCCTATAAAATTACACATCATCCATGGAAAAGCAGTCTAAAATTCATATTTTAATAGTTTCTAATGTTAAATACCTGAAGTAATTAAAATATGTCATTATTGTAATAACCAAAAGAGATAGTTTTGTGAATTGTCTAAATTAACACTATTACTTGGGTTTAAATTAGGAATCCTCACAAATCTTTTAAAAATAAAACCAACTTAAAGTAATTTTCAAGTGTTTTGAGTATAATTATTTTAAATTTTATTCAGCTCATCTGTCTACTGAAAGCTTGTAAAAAACAATTAGAGTGTTAACTGTGACTAGCCGTTGGTACCCGTTACACGTGAATTATCGGTCTATATATTTTTAATGGTATACGTTTTTTAGAAGAATGTTTTATAAAATAGTTATTTGTCAAAACGCTATGTGCTTTACTACATGTTTAACGATATTACTGACAAAGCAAAGAAATAACTAAATAGCTAAAAGTCCGACACATTTAAAATAACATAGGCTATTAATACCTATTAGAAAAATAAAACCAAATTATATACATAATTAGTCAACACAATACCATATTAAATGCACACATTGATTAAAAGACTTAAATGACAGTTAAAACCCGGCTTTTCAATGGTATTTATGTTTTTTTAAAGTAATTTGTATTAGTTTTGGCCTAGGAAATTGTATAAATTTCATAAATTACGTATCGATAAGTAAATCTATAGATCTCAATCAAATTTAATGAAATATTTCATTTCTGCGTATTCTAAAATTGGAAGATGACGCCATTGGTTTTGTGTACTTTCCGTACTTCAAACATATGATATGTGACGTCATCGATTTCGGCGTTCTTATCCCAACTATAATTAATTAAAACTGTTTTCCTACATTCCAATATGCCTTTTTTTTTTCTTTAAATGAAATTTTGTTTATACATTTAAAACATCTAGCATATTATTTTCAACAAAAGTCCGCATCAAGTTCTTCATATATCGCTGAAGACTCTGATGTGATATCCTGTGAACATATTTTGCGGACAGAGAGAGAGAGAGAGAGAGAGAGAGAGAGAGAGAGAGAGAAGTGCGCACATGGGCTTTTATATATTAGGATTATGTTTTAGAATCAACTTTACATACATTAGTTGTTTGGCTCCAGTGTTTCTTTCAGACTTTTCCTCCACAGAGGAAGAGGGGTGGACACTAGTAAAAGTATATATGTTCTATAAGAATTCCATTTTGTTCGGGTGTAGGGGGGGGGGGTAAACTTTCTATGGGGGTGTAGGGTCTGCCTCCCAAAGAGATGCCTAGAAGACACTCTGTTTTGGCTCTACATTATATTGAGAAATAACATTATGCTCTTATTCTTTGATTCAAAATATGAATCTTCAAAAGTAGAAAAAGTCAAATTGTGTTTTTATATCTTTGATGTTGGTATTTCTTGTAAAGGGAGTTAAACAAATTAATTTTTACATTTGTATTAATTTAAAGGGAGAATTTTTCTGTACACGCAATTAAAAAGTGAAACAGGTATTAAATTGATTTGTAGGCCCTATCTATTTCTCAATCACTAGCTCAAAATAGTAATTTGGTAACATATTAACTAAAACAAAATACATTAATTTTGGCTGGTTTAATTATCTTACGTCTTTTAGATGGCAAGAATTCAATGCTAGACTTAATACATTTATTTAGTAAAAATATGCGCACTTTATTGAACCAAGTATATTTTGAAGATTACCTCCAAAATGTTGTGACTGATTACATGGAAACAATTTCATATCTCGAAAGACAGTTCTTGTGAATACGGACACGCCTATACGGGTGTTCAAGTGCATCATTCAATATATAAGACGAACAACAATAAACGGGTTACAAAACACGATTAAATAAAACAAGTGCTTGTTAATATGTTTAATACTATATGCACTGTCTACAAAGCACAGATTTTTCTAAATATAAATACATACGCTACTACACAAGCTAAGATACAGCTGCTATCAGTTCCACAACAAAAAATAAAAAGGAGACCAACATTCCGTCACACTCTACGCAACAACGATCCTACTCAAAAACGCCACTGCTTTTCACACAACGTCACAGTCTAATAATTTTCGTATTTATTTATTTATTGACACATTCATCCACAACACAGGTAACCAAATACCCTAACAAATGTGCTACATTTACTTTCCACACGCTGCTATAAATTATTTTTCTAATTTGTTAAATAATTCTAACAAAAAGTAGAATTTTAAAATGTATTTTCTTTAATTGACGATATGATATAATGGAATACGTAGCTAGAAGTTTTGAAACAACTAGAGACTGTCAATATATTCTTCCGAAAACATGTAGGATATTTTTGTAAACTAAAATAATTTACATCGACTTGAGTCTGAGTACCAGAAATAAGGGTTAGAGATGACATTGGCAAGATGTTTTCCTTTTTATTTTACTATCACTAACCTAACACACTTAGTTAAAAAAGATTACATTATTGTGAAAGTATTGGGCACTAGTATAGCCTACAGGAAATGGTTATTTCATTAGTCACATCTGGCATGTAAAACTGTAATGTAATCACTACAACAGAAATTATGTTTGTTTATTTTCTGTCATGCAAAACTGTAATGTAATCACTACAACAGAAATTATGTTTGTTTATTTTCTGTCATGCAAAACTGTAATGTAATCACTACAACAGAAATTATGTTTATAACTATTTTATACAAAGGTTCTAAAAGATTTTAGGTTGTTAATTTGTAATGTCAGTTCGATTAATTAAATTGTTTGTGAACTGTTATTCTTCTAGATTGTTGCCTTTTGAAAAGGACTGGTATACTATATTTAGATTATAATAACTAATCCAGTGTCCCTTTCATCCCTCAATAGTATGTGCTTTTACCCGCTAAAACCTAGACCATCACTGGCCACACCAACATGAACATCATCCCCTAACTCTTGACCAACCCTGTACACCATTGCCCCAGCACTGCCTGGACATGTCGGGGTTGTGTACATGTACCATGTCCGGCCATCGGTAATGGCGCGGTGGACCCAGTGACCAACAGATACCCGAGGTTCAGAAAGTAAGTGCGGGTACGAGATGATAATGGTCAGGTTCACATCGGTGTTGGCTCTGTATTCTTCGTAGACATTCCTGTGAAACTCCTGAAACTGTTGACACAATTCTCTTAACAGATATCCAAGCTCCACATCATGTGTGGCAAACTCCAAAACACAAGATTTCCCACCATTTTTAAAAGGCGAAATATTAACACAATCTAATGTAACATTCACCATTTTATCATACTCTTTCAATTCATACGCCTTTGAGAATTGAAACATTTTTGGGTCCATTTTTGGTTCGACGAAATCTCTTGTCGTTCTCACATGCACCTTCCACCAGACCATTTTACTCGGTGTATCACCCTTATGTCCGGGACATGGGCACACAGTTTTGTCTCCTGTTCCTATAGTGTGCATGTCAACCTTGAACACCGTACCAGTGCACACTTTTATCGCTTTCTTCTCCTCAGTATCAGAGCTACATTCTTGTTTGCCTACTAATTTTACAGTTAATTGACTCCAGATTGAAATTAATTTCTTCATGTCTTTTCCGCGGTAGCCTCGAGGAATGTAAGATTCTTTAAATATGTCCACAGGTACGAAGTTCTTGAGACATGGATCATTCACATGTTTAGATATTGGGACCACCCCTCTAAGTCTCTCACGCTCCGCGTTTTTGTATAGTTCATGTGTCGTCGTTTCTAACACTTCGTCTGTACCTGTAGAGTAAGTATAAATATCACAACTCTAAAAACAAAATATAAAGAAATTAAATACAATTTTCATTGAAATTAAAACGTTTTAATAAATATATTAAAGTAGGTCACCATGTGTGGGGTAAGGTGAAATAGATAACTAGGTAATTGGGCTTGTAAGTAGGCCACAACTTCTCGTTCTCGTACTTGCCAGCTAGTAGATTTCGAGACCGTGGACTTACAAGCCCTATTGCTCTGGGTGTTATGGTAGATGTTAAAACAGGGAGGCCATTGGCGGGGGGGGGGGTATTGTCCTAGACATAATGAATATGTTTTATATATATATATATATATATATATATATATATATATATATATATATATATATATATATATATATATATAATATAAGCGGGCTGAGCGTGTCCTTCCTTCCTTCCGTCCGTCATCGCTATAGATTTTGGGACTATAAAAGTAAACAATGCACCATGCTGTGCTTTTCAGTGCACCGCAGTGCTTATTATAACTATTAGAGTAGGGTTTGTTTATATAGCGGCATAGAGCTATTTTATAATTTCCACTGTTTGTACAATTTTGCATAACGTAAAGAGAATATTAAATACACGCACACTGCTAAAACATATTAAAAGGATCAATGTCAAATATCATTTTAGTTTATATCCCTGAAAAAATGGATACATTTCCATAAAAATAGGTCGAAAAAACTAATTAATTCAACTTTTTTTTTGTGTGGTAATTTTTTCAAGGGAGGTAATTTGAAAATATATTTAACTCAACAATAATTTAAGTTAATCTTTTTTTTTATTACTACCGCATTGATTAGTCTATGTTAAGGTTCATAATTAAAAGAGAAAAATGTTTAGATTATTTATATTATTTTCTAATTAGTCTAGGATTTCTCAAAATCACTATTTTTTGTTTTTGTTTTTTGGTGTTAACAGATGGTGAAATTTTATAATTATAGTATAGAGAATGCTGGAAAGACTCTCTCTAGGCGCGGACGTCTGGGAAAAACGTGTTTTTCGGTGGTAATTCTAATTACATTGCCAATGTGTTTTCTTAGAACCATAAAAGTAAACACCACTTGCCGTACATTCATTTGCATCGCATTGTTTTATTGTAAGTTATGGAGTAGGATCTATTTATGTGACTTAAATTTTTAATGTTGGAAAGGCTCTCTTTGGGCGCGGACGCCTAAAAAAGCGTGTTGTTTGGTGGTGATTCTAATGTTGTGGTTGTGTTTTTTTTTTGGTTGTGTTGTGGTTGTTTTTTGGTTGTGTTGTGGTTGTTTTTTGGTTGTGTTGTGGTTGTGTTGTGGCTGTGTTGTGGTTGTGTTTTTGTTGTGGTTGTGTTGTGGTTGTGTTGTGGTTGTGTTGTGGTTGTGTTGTGGTTGTTTTTTGGTTGTGTTGTGGTTGTGTTGTGGTTGTGTTGTGGTTGTGTTGTGGTTGTGTTGTGGTTGTTTTTTGGTTGTGTTGTGGTTGTGTTGTGGTTGTGTTGTGGTTGTGTTGTGGTTGTGTTGTGGTTGTGTTGTGGTTGTGTTGTGGTTGTGTTGTGGTTGTGTTGTGTTGTGGTTGTGGTTGTGTTGTGGTTGTGTTGTGGTTGTGTTGTGGTTGTGGTTGTGGTTATGTTGTGTTTGTGGTTGTGTTTTTTTTGTGTTTGTGTTCTGTTCCAAAGTTGGTACATTTAAAAAAGATTTACCGTGGCGGAGCACGGGATGCAGCTAGTATATATATATATATAGGTATATTTTTATACAAATAAAATAAGTGTCTAATGGAAGATTTATATAATTACGACTTTTAAATCAAGGCGCTAAGTCTGGGCAGAAAGTTGAGTAGAACCAGGTGTTGCCCATGTATCATGGCCACCCTCTCTCCACACAGCTAATAGACCCAAGGGAAAAGACGTTACCTGTACACCTTGGCATCATCTGTGTCGTAGCAGTTTCCAAAATTTCAAATTAGAGTTTACTTACCATTCTTGGCAGCATTTTCTAGATCAAGGGCATAGCCTTCCATCTGTTCTTTAGACATTCAGAATGCTGTGTACAGAAATAAATAATAATCAAGTGTGTTTGGTAGATTGTTAAAATACTTCATAATTGTATGGTGTAAACCTTGGTCGTAATTGCTCATGGAAAGTATTGAACTCAATGTTGTACTATTGATGTGTGTGTGTGTGTGTGTGGGGTGGGGGTGGGGGGGGGGGTGTTATTGTGCATATTTTAGCTAAAATCACTGGAATTATGAGCTGTCAGTCATTAGCTGCCGTGGTTATCACAATGGCCTCGCGGTAAACAACCACCAAATTTGGCCCAAACCCAGCAATACTCCACCTGTTATCACATCCCACAACAAGCACGTAGGGTGGTGTGGTCAGTACTATGCCTGAGTTGGTGTGGTCAGTACTATGCCTAGGGTGGTGTGGTCAGTACTATGCCTAGGTTGGTGTGGTCAGTACTATGCCTAGGATGGTGTGGTCAGTACTATGCCTAGGTTGGTGTGGTCAGTAATATGCCTAGGATGGTGTGGTCAGTACTATGCCTAGGACGATGTGGTCAGTACTATGCCTAGGGTGGTGTGGACAGTATTATATCCAATGGTTGTGTGGACAGTACTATGCCTAGGGTGGTGTGGTCAGTACCATGCCCAGGGTGGTGTGGTCAGTACTATGCCTAGGATGGTGTGGTCAGTACTATGCCTAGGACGATGTGGTCAGTACTATGCCTAGGGTGGTGTGGACAGTATTATATCCAATGGTTGTGTGGACAGTACTATGCCTAGGGTGGTGTGGTCAGTACCATGCCCAGGGTGGTGTGGTCAGTACTATGCCTAGGATGGTGTGGTCAGTACTATGCCTAGGACGATGTGGTCAGTACTATGCCTAGGTTGGTGTGGTCAGTACTATGCTTAGGGTGGTGTGGTCAGTACTATGCCTAGGTTGGTGTGGTCAGTAATATGCCTAGGATGGTGTGGTCAGTACTATGCCTAGGACGATGTGGTCAGTACTATGCCTAGGGTGGTGTGGACAGTATTATATCCAATGGTTGTGTGGACAGTACTATGCCTAGGGTGGTGTGGTCAGTACCATGCCCAGGGTGGTGTGGTCAGTACTATGCCTAGGGTGTTTTGGTCAGTACTATGCCTAGGTTGGTGTGGTCAGTACTATGCCTAGGATGGTGTGGTCGTTACTATATCCAAGGTGGTGTGGACAGTACTATGTCCTATCGTATTTACGTTGTTCATTAACAGCTGTTTACAATTAGTTAGGGTCAGCTGTGTTACGTAACAAGGATAGTAATCATTTTTTAATTTAAATGTTACATCTAGCTAACGTTTAAAATAGATAATGATGGGAATTAGGCTAAGCTTGAAATGAGGAGTAAAAAATTAATGCATATTTTACCAAAATAACTCAACCCTAGGTCCTAGGCCCTAGACTTATTCCTAGACTTATCACCAACGCTGTTTTTTTTTCAGTGGTCTCGTCTTATCGTCTTATCCTTAAACAGTAAGCATGACAGACGGTTCTAACATGTTTTCTTACTTTAATTATAGTTTCTTTCTACAATTTAGGGTAAATATTTCTAAAAAGAGGTTATATGTGTGCGCTTTTCATGTGGTCAACTAGATCTAGATCTAGATCTAAATTCTAGTACCAAACACTTCCATCCTCTACATTTTAAACAAACATAATATATACAATTTTTATGTTAAAACTTTATTTACCTATTTAATCGGACTTACAGCTATCAGGTATACAATTAATTATTTAAATCTGAGGTAGATCAAATTACTAATGATTTCTTAACTAAGAAAATTTGTTACGTCATAAACGTTCTAGGAATCTAGATGTAGATGTACTTGCAATGTATGAAATGTGTAGGAAATGTGCACGAATAGCTATGACGTGAACGGAAACAGAAATACTCAACATCAAGGTTTCATTTCTCTTTTTGGTAGTGTGCAAAAAGCGCGTAACACGATGACAAAAATCCTAGTAATGTATCAGTTTAAACTTTTTTTCCCAGTTAAATTGATAATTGAAAGTGGCAAACTGCTGCCTAGTTGTTTGTTCTTGGTTGGACAAAGGCTATTGGAGCAAATCTAAACAGAAAAGCAGGCTTAACTCGGAGTCAACGGCCTGTCTGGCGCATAACAAGTTGAAATATAATACTGATTGGTTTTGGAATATATTTAATCCAACATTACAACCGTGAACGTAGAAATAAACCAGGAGTGATCTCCCCTAAACTTTCTCGAATATTCTTATATAAAACAACAGGGGATGGGAACTCGGGATATAGTTATGATTTTTAATCAATTTTAAATACATAAACTTTTTAAAATAAAATAGAATCTCATAGAAAAAAGTATTGCACACCAAGCGAACGCCAAATAAAGATGTTCATAATGGTGCGCAATATTATTAGTACTTTATAAATTTAGATGCGTTTTTGAGAAATCGGAAATAGCGTAAATTAGTACTTCCCGTCAACGGAAATTACTCAAAACATAAGGTAGAGAATTAGATCTTTTACTTACATGTGAAATTTCATTTATCTATCTGAAATAGTACTCAAGTTAGAGGCTTTTGAAAAATTCAAAGTAGGAAAAGTACCACTTCCGGTTATCGGAAATCGCTTAAAAGTTGATACGGATCTACGATTTTGATAAAATACTTATATATGAAATTTCATCAACCTAGCTGTAACGGTACTCAAGTTATCGTGTTTACACACGGACACACAGACAGACAGACAGACACACAGACAGACACACAGACATACGGACAAGATTGCAAAATTATGTTTTTCCGTATCAGTGAGGTGTAAAACGTCGAGATTTGTAAAAATCTCGATTTTTTTTTTGCACGATTACAATACTTTCTCTATACTACGTATATACGAGAAAGTAAAAAAAAGAAATGTATTAAAATATAACTTCCATTTTTACTTTCTTATATATATATATATATATATATATATATATATATATATATATATATATATATATATATATAATTATACATATATATGCATATATATATATATATATATATATATATATATATATATATATATATATATATATATATACGAAAAGATATCAGCCATTTTCTTTAAATGGAACATTTAATGTTTTACATTTATACTTATATATTAATATTAAATGTATGAGGTATTCAACTATAAGATTAATATGATGAACTTCTAGAAATGATTTGACACATTGACAAGTACCGATGTTGACAGGTAAGAATGACCCAGTTAACAGTAACGACCCTTGTTATCACTTCTACTGACCCTTGTTTACAACCAGTTATAAACATTGTTGACAGCAAATAATGACCATGTTTACGTCTTCTACTAACCCAAGATAAAAGCCGGTACTAAACCGTCCCTGTCACCGAGTCATGAACACTGTTCGGGTCAGCAACCTCGCATACAACCGTTAGACTATTCGACTCTGCAGATTTAAGGATTTTTTACTTTCTCGTATATATGAAGTATAGAGAAAGTCTTGTAATCGTGCAAAAAAAAATTCGAGACTTTTGGAAATCTCGATGTTTTACACCTCACTGATACGGAAAAACATAATTTTGCAATCTTGTCCGTATGTCTGTGTGTGTCTGTAAACACGATAACTTGAGTATTGTTACAGCTATGTTGATGAAATTTCATACATAAGTATTTTATCAAAATCGTAAATCGTATCAACTTTTGAGCGATTTCCGTTAACCGGAAGTTGAACTTTTTCTACTTTGAATTTTTCAAAAGTCTATAACTTGAGTACTATTTTAGATAGATATATGAAATTTCACATATTAGTAAAAGATCTAATTCTCTACCTTCTTTAAAATTATGAGTAATTTCCGTTTACAGGAAATAGTAATTTACGCCATTTCCGATTTCTTAAAAAACGCATTTAAACTTATAAAGTTCTAATAATATTCCGCACTATTATGCACATTTTGTTTTGGCGTTCGCTGGTGCGCAATTCTTTTTTCTATGAGATTCTATTCTATTTTTAAAAGTTTAAGTAATTGAAAATCATGTCTATATTCCGAGTTATATAAGAATATTCGATAACATTTAGGTGAGATCACTCCCGGTTTATTTTAATTTAGGATTCCAAGCATTTTCTTGAGGAATAAATAACATCTTGTTTTAACTAATTCAAACAGTAAAATATTTATACCAAATAAAAGCTAAGGACAAATGTACTTTTACAATGAATTTTTTAATTATTTTAAAAAGAAAACAGAAATTTGATTATTATTAAAAAAAAACAATAAAAAATAAAGGAAGAAAATTCACTTCAAATAGATGACAAAATTGTATCGTAATTTACTATCAAGGTTATATAGAAATAAACAATGATCTTTTTGATTATTACATGTTTTGATAATGTTTTGAAATTTATTAAAATTAATAAAATAAAAACTTTAACTTTAAAAAAATTAAATCATGGATTAAATTATAAGATCCTGCTTTCAACTGGGCGCAGTACAAATTACTATAACTATAAATAATCCTAACTCACTTTGTTAAAGGAGATTACATTATTGTGAAATTATTGGACATATGCTTAGCATACAACAAATTGTTATTTCACTTGTCAGATTTTGTATTTTCTAGACAAGTGCAGCTAACTAAAAAGTCATAGTCCCTTTTGACTCCACTATAGTTTAATCCACTATAGTTAATCCACTTTAGTTTAATCCACCAGCGTTAGCTACACTGTCTAGTCCCTCTTGACTCCACTATAGTTTAATCCACTGTCTAATCCCACTTGACTTCACTATAGTTTAATCCACTGTCTAGTCCCACTTGACTCCACTATAGTTTAATCCACTGTCTAGTCCCACTTGACTCCACTATAGTTTGATCCACTGTCTAGTCCCACTTGACTCCACTATAGTTTAATCCACTGTCTAGTCCCACTTGACTCCACTATAGTTTAATCCACTGTCTAGTCCCACTTGACTCCACTATAGTTTAATCCACTGTCTAGTCCCACTTGACTCCACTATAGTTTAATCCACTGTCTAGTCCCACTTGATTCCACTATAGTTTAATCCACCAGCGTTAACTCCACTGTGTGGATGATGTGACCAGGCAGAGCCTAGCCTGTAGACCAAGGCCCCACTGCTACCTGGACACGTAGCAGTTGTATACGTGTACCTGGTCAATCCTAAATTGTCGTGCCTGTGTACCCACTGACCTATAGAGACCTGCTTAGAACAGCCATGAGGATGGGACACTATAATGGTCAGCTTGTCCTCATCCGTTCGTCTCTTGTATTTTGAACACAGGTCATCAAACCGCTCCACCATTTCTTCAAGTAATTCACCTATCACATAGTCATCAGTCACACAATACAACGTGCATACGTCTCTGTCCGTGTCAGACCCTACTACACCCACGCCGTTTATTATATAGCGTGCTTTGCTACTATCCTCATCAAACCATAATCTACAGGTGGATTGTTTCGCCTCACTCTCATCAAAAACCACGTGTGTGGCAGTCACCACAACCACTTCCCACCAATTTTTAATCTGTTTGTCAGCATTGTCTAACATATGACGTGGAAAAGGTTTGAATCCCTTCATTCCTTTTGAGTATTTTGTTACCATAGTCACTCTGCCTGTTCCCGTCCTCTTGTTGTTAGTTCCCCTGATGTCGTAGCTAGGATATGGATCTTGAGTGCCTGGTACAAACTCTGGTCTGTCTGGACTAATGAACTCCACGGCGATCCTGACTGTTAGGTCGGCCGTTGCTTTTATTTGCTCATAAAGTCCTTTGTAGGGTTGACCAGAAGGAAAATGTTCAACGGTTAATTTATTTACAGGTATAAACCCTGCATGGCCAGGATTTTTTTCGCACTTCTGCTTGTGTGTGTGTAGATCTATCTCACCTTGACCTTCATGGCATTCTTGCACTTCATGTGTACCTACACAGGCGAAAAGATAGATACTAGTACTAAAGTTTAAAAATATTTTACTGGCTGATAAGATTTTAAGAGCAAAATACACATCAGATAAATTAAATGCGTATTTAATAAAAGAAACGATGACCTCATGTTTTACATTGAATAAACTTCGCATTTAAATTAATACTAATAATTTCGCTGTCTATCTATCTATCTATCTATCTATCTATCTATCTATCTATCTATCTATCTATCTATCTATCTATCTATCTATCTATCTATCTATCTATCTATCTATCTATCTATCTATCTATCTATCTATCTATCTATCTATCTATCTATCTATCTATCTATCTATCTATCTATCTATCTATCTATCTATCTATCTATCTATCTATCTATCTATCTATCTATCTATCTATCTATCTATCTATCTATCTATCTATCTATCTATCTATCTATCTATCTATCTATCTATCTATCTATCTATCTATCTATCTATCTATCTATCTATCTATCTATCTATCTATCTATCTATCTATCTATCTATCTATCTATCTATCTATCTATCTATCTATCTATCTATCTATCTATCTATCTATCTATCTATCTATCTATCTATCTATCTATCTATCTATCTATCTATCTATCTATCTATCTATCTATCTATCTATCTATCTATCTATCTATCTATCTATCTATCTATCTATCTATCTATCTATCTATCTATCTATCTATCTATCTATCTATCTATCTATCTATCTATCTATCTATCTATCTATCTATCTATCTATCTATCTATCTATCTATCTATCTATCTATCTATCTATCTATCTATCTATCTATCTATCTATCTATCTATCTATCTATCTATCTATCTATCTATCTATCTATCTATCTATCTATCTATCTATCTATCTATCTATCTATCTATCTATCTATCTATCTATCT